GTTCAGATTTGGTTGTAAGAGTGGACTTTTATGGGTAAATTAGAGCCCTGTAGGTTTAGGAAAAGAGAGGCATCTCTTTGCTCACATTACACATGCAGGGAAGGCCAGGGACAGTCCAAATGACAAGTTAGCCCCTGAGTGTTGGAACGGGGCCCTCAAACACATACGCCTTGATATTATGAATGTCTTCATATTGAACTTCTTAGTCCCAGGCCTGTGAGACATCATTATCTGTTGTGTGAGCTTATATTTTTATGGCAGCTGAATAGATAAGATATTAAATATTTATTTTATGACCACTACTGGAAATTTTAAAGCCATATATATAAATGTAAAGTTACACCTAGAACGTTCATGTCAAAGCCAGAAAGCCCATCCCTGTGCTGCTGTGTGCAAAGCAATCTCCTCTCTGAAACTGATATGTCGTCTCTAGACTCAGCCGCATCTCAGCTTTGACACGGCTGTCTTCCTAGAAGCCTTCTCCAACAAGCCCCAACAGCCCTGAAACCATGGTCTATCTGAATTTTGAACAGTTTTGCACAGCAGAATGAAGGTATCCTTTTGGAACACTAACATTTAAAGATCCCAACTGTTTCTTTGGGACAGAAGTCAGGGCTCAAGCAGCTATTGCTGACTATGAAATCTTAGCAAAATACATGTAACTTTTCGGCTAGTTACAGCCTAAGTGTGGACTGAGCAGTGTCGAGAGGGCATAGTGCAGGAGAAAAAGTGGTACTGATTCCCTGAGATAGCTGGACTTGGAGTACTTCTAAATGCTTAAAGTTGGAGGTGGAAGAGGGTAGATCAGCCACTTGCTACCTTCAGTTTCACTATCCCTAAAGTGAAAAATATTTCAATGTGCATATTTAATACTTAGTTTATTTTTTAAAGCATCACTCTGTACAAGTGAGGTGATAGCTTCCAAAATAAACCAACTGAAAGAAAAATAAGAAAGGCAGAAATGAATGTAGTCTTTCAAGAGTTGATTATTATTCTTAGTGAGTAAAAAATGAAGAGTAAAAAAAACAAAGTAATAAAGAAATACATTTTAATTAATCTGAATACTAAATTCAGTTGAATGACAATTTTCTTCTGAAGTTAAATGTCAAGCATGAGGCAAATTCTGTTGCAAACTTCCAAATGGAGACATGGTCCCAGAAAAGGATGTTTGAAAACTCCCATCACAGCTCACTGTCCTGAAACCTTGGATTAAGGTTTGAACAGGTTAGTCACTGAATAGAACTAGTGGACAGAGGATGAGAGGCCCAGGGCAAGAGTGTCAGGGCAGATCAAAAGATCCCAGTCTCTGAGCTGGATGGGACAACCCACGCAGCCTGTCTTGATGGGGCCCAGTGCCAGCTCCAGGTTGCATCCTCCCACCAGCACTGAAAAGCTCATGGTCCTTACAATGACTCCCAAGATACTCAGCCATCCTGTGGGACCTGTGCTTTTCTCCAGTATTAAAGCCCAAGACAAGAGATAGTTCTCATTACAAGGATGGTGGCCTAGCAACCCTGTTGTCAGCTGCATCCACAGATGGCAAAGAAGAAGCTATCTTCCTACAGATGATTTGAGAACAAGAATTTCCACTTGACTCTCTTTTACCTTTTGAGGTATCTCAATGTCTGCATATCCACCAACAACTTTCCTCCTGTGTATATTGATTGACCTTTTGTCAAATACAAATGACCAACTTCCTCTGGACCTAGTTCCTCTATGTGATTTACTCATCCTATATTAAGTGAAGAATCTGCCAGTATGGAAAGATGGGACATCTGCAAGGTAAAAGCAGAGCATGAAGAAGGAAGAAGCTATGAGGGTTTAGAAAAAGTGGATGATGGCAGTGGTCCTGTGACCACAGCTGTGACGAGCAGTATGGTGGGGTGGGAGAGACCAGACAGAAGATGGAGCATCAGAGTTCTCGTACTGGCTTTTTTAGAAAAACCAGCCAACAGACTAGCCTAGTCAAGGTCACACTTTCCAGAAGTGTATTTTCATACATTTATACATGAAATGAGACTACCAATAACTACCTGCCCATCTCAAAAGATATCACTTTAGCAACTCCAGATGTAACATTTTATGGGGACAAGAATAGCTCTGGTGAAAGTGCAGTTTTCAGTCTGCTGAGATTCTTGCAATTCAAAAATAGACATGAGAAAGGAGCATAGAATGCATAACCTTTTGAAGTAAAAGAGTAGCCTTGATCAATAAGAACATATCGACCAGCCAGATGCTCCTTCAACGTCTGATGTGGAAATCAGAAGTGGAAGATACAATTCCTGCCTAAGAAAAGCACTAAACTATTGCATTTATAGGTAACATTGATCGAAGATTTACCTACGGCAGACGCTGTGCTAAGTCTTTATCTCCAACAATCTGCACAGCTGCTTTATGAGTTCATAATATCTCCAAACCGCAGTAAGTTTGAGAAAGAGAGTGGTTAGTTGCTCCCAGATTGTGATGCGGATAAAAGTCACTTTGCCAAGCCTGGTATAAAAGGGGTTTGGATACATCTGGGGAATTTATGTTTTTAGCCAACTCCAGGTCTTCTGGAAGCAGGTAAGGTGCAAACCACTATTCCTGAAGCTGCTTCGCAGATTATTAATATGAAATGTTAGTTGATGTAGAGATCCTGGGAACCCACATTTCTAATTGTATCTCATGGGAAGCAATACCGGAAAAGATTGTTAAGAATATAAGGACCCAGGCTTACTCCTCAGTGACTCAATATTCTGATGCGAAGCTCGGGAATCTGTATTTTTTTAACAAGCTGTCCCAAGAGAGTCTTATGGTTAAGAAAATCTGTAGTTTTAGTCAGAATTTTCCCCGAAGCCCAATTGACCCAGGTCTCAGTCTAGCCTTCCTCCAGTCCACCGGGGCCTTGAAAGAGATACTCATAGGACCTGCACAGGATAGCTCACTGCACTGCTCAGCAAAAGGCAAGGGCTTGCTGAGTTTTGTTCCCTCGGACAGTTCTGAGAGGGGTCCTCAGCTCATTCTCAGAGCCACGATGGATCCATCACGTGCCCAGTTGAAGCTCCTCACAAAGCCATTCCAGGCCGAAATTGTAGAACAGAATGGCTGCATGTCAAGTCTGATGAGGGATTAAAAACAAATCCACGGAAACTGTTGTCACAGTCACCAAAACTGCTTAGCCAGCTGCAGGAAGAAAACAAATACACTGAAGCATTAAGCCGGGCAGAAGGTTCCAGCTCACTGAAAGCAGGCTCATTTGTTTTCCATTATGGCTCACCAGCATCTACCTGGGCTGTGCTCACAGGGTTCCGGCAGCAACAAGACAGAGCCAGGAAGGCTGATGGATTTATGACATACGGCTTTGATGACATATTTACCAGCTCTTGCTTGCTGGATTCCAGAAACAAGAGGCTGGAGCTGGAAAAGGAGAGGCTTCCTGGAAATGGAGCCCACTGGGAAAACAACAGGTAGATGCCCACCAATGAGAGAAGTCTCTGCTGGAATGGGTGTTTGGACACCAGTTCTTCTGATGGATGAAGGGGTCAGAGATTGCAGCAAAGTGTTCTGCTGGCTGCCAGGAAGAAGGGGTTCCATACTCCAGCACTGCTGCTTCCTGCTGGACAGCCGTGAGGATGGCCCTGGACTTCAGAGCCCCAGGGTCCATGTTAGAAAAAGCTATGTAGGCTTTCTGGGAGACGAAACATAATAGCAATGTAAGATTGTACTGCTGCATGTTTTAGTATTGGCGATATCCCTTATGCAGCCTGCAACTCAAGGCAAGATTAGCTTTGAGAGATAATGTTCTTAGTTCCAGCTTCCTTTTATCCAAAGCACAGGGAATCCCACAGTATGGACATTGCAAAAGATTGTGCCTTTTAATTTATTCCTTTTTTTTTTTTTTCAGGTAGGGAGGCAAAGAAGGAAACTATCCATTGATATGCAAATGTGGCACCAAGAGAAAGTTTTGTCATTTTTGTTCTTAATTGCTCATGAAATCTTTGTAAGTTAGAAGCTACTCTCTCTTCTCCGCAGACGAGGAGACTGGAAATCAAAGAAGTTAATTTCAGTGTACAAACTCACACAGCTTATTAGAAGTAGACCCAGGAAATTTGAGATGTACTGAAGACAAAGCAGGTAATCTTCAAATACATTTTTTAACTAAGGAGGTAATAAATGGCCCTAAATTAAGAATTCTGTTTTCTCACTATGATGCACATTTTCACAATAACCTTTGTTTGTCAAAGAGTCCGTTATGCTCATTTTTTTTCAACAACACTTGTTTCTTTACCGCTGCTATTTACGCCATCCCGCTGGCCGTGTAAAAGTAAACCAAACAAAATGTGTCTTCTGATGTTTCGATGGTGTATGGGAGAAAGTACACCTGCCCAGAAATCCCTACGATGCTCATTACGTTGTTAAGGGTGACAGAGAAGGAGTCACAGGTACCTGAAGCGTCTGAGAGGTGTTTGCAGGTTGGCTATACAGAGACGGAGGGCGACGACCCAGATATAGGGACAAAATGAACCCGGATGCAAGGGGTACACTGATACTTGCCCCGGAGGGGAAAGCATTTAAAGGGGAGTGGGTGGGAAGCCTGCTGAGTGAAACAAATGGGCTCTCCCGTTCTCTCTGGTTATCCGGCGGCCACAGCTCCTGTTCAACACCGGTAAAAGGGTTCACCTTGGAGAGACTCTTGGTTCCCCTGCTTCAGGGCTCTTCTGCTGCGAGGTGACAGGGGACGGAGAAATGGGCCTGCGAAGTCTTGTCGTCCTGTTACCCACCCCAGCACATTGCGGGCTCCCCCGCTAGCCGGAGGAGTTCGTAGGACGTGGCAGTTTCAGCTGAAGCTGAGCACTAAGGAGGTTTCCTCGGGGATGCGAGTGTAGTCTGCCGCTCCAGCTGCTCTTGGGCCTGTCACCTCCACTCAGTGATGAAGGTGTAGAGAAAAGGTGAAAATGCCATGGCGACAGCATGCTAGCCAAACACAGGGAGGAGTCAGAGTTGAAATTCACTTCTAGAGAAGTATTCGTTTCCTGCCTCGGATTTGTGCGAACATTGATGAAAAGCCAATCACATCGTGAGGATGGTGATTAACATAACGCTGCCTAATGAATTAATTCCGCCAGTGCATCCGAAGGTAAAAATGTTTTCTTTTCCCCTTAATCCTCTCTAATGGAGGTAGATTTGCCAATAGAGGGTTGTTTTTTTTTTGTACTTTATGCATTTATTAGAATAATCCTCTGCTAGTCAGTGATGTGTGAGTGCAGAGTATGCTGAATTACTATCTGTGTAAATATGGACTTTCCATTTTCAGAACCAGGGAGAGGAAAAGCTATTTTTTGTAAGTTTATTTCCAGAAAACATATGATCACTTAAGGGTGATTTATGAATCTGTGATATTTAATCCAGAAGAAGTTATTTCTTGTCTTTGCCCTGATGGGTCTTAGAAAATAGACAAAATTTTAGGCTCTTAAAAATTTAAGAAACAAATGGCACTGATGTTTTGGAAAGCAAACTGTCATTGCGTATCAAGAAATTTTAAACTACTTAATCCTTTTAACTTAAAAATTTTGTCTTTGAAATGTGTCAGAAGGGAATTATATTGTTCTAAATATAGAACCCACAAAAAAAATTGTATACTCACTTCAGGGAAAGAAAGACAGCATGATGTTTTTTTCCACAGATGGTGTTCTCCTCATACAGGGGACCCTAGAGGGTGTTGTGTATTACACTACACTGCCAGCCCTTAGAGAAGAAATTGAAAATGCGCATGTAGCCATCTCAGTGACCAAGGTTACCCAAGGTTCATCATACTAATAAATGTCTGGAAGTTAATGGCCACCACTTTGAGTACCCCTTGTAACTGTAGAAGCCAAAAGTAATAATTTGCATTAACCTTATGGCTTCTCAGTATATTTAGTATTAAAATATTCCTACAAGCTTTTCTTTTCCTGAAGTGTGCATGCAGTTTTTGGTGGACTTCATGTATACACAATCCTATGAGCATATTCAGAGCCATGCTACTTATTATCAGAAAAATAATGTGAGCTACTGAGGCATTCAACATTAAAGCAGTGGCCAAAGAAACCACAGTGTTATCTTTTAGTGGAATCATTTATAGATATTTAAAATAATATTTGCATCAGCAAAAATGTAATAACTTGAAAATGTTCATGGTTTAGGAGTATCAATGACAATACCTAATATTTATTGATCACTGTTAATTGATTCAATGTTTTACCTACAGTATTGAATCCTCAGATGAGCCTAAGGGGGAGGAGGAAGGCGTTATTATTACATTATTATTATTATTATTATTATTATTATTATTATTATTATTAATATCCCCATATATTAAATGGAAAACTAAAAGCTATAGGGTTAGGTTGATCTATTTCTATTTCTGGTCACACAGTTAATGTGAAAACAGATTCTTTGTGATGTTGGTCTCTAAGACCCTCTGATATCAACAGTGATTAGAAGGAGTCACAGAACTCTGAAGAGATGTTATCCTTTTATTACATCAAGAACATAGATAATAAAATAAGCAATGTCTGATATGACAGAGTACATGAGTGACCAAGGACAGGTCTCCTGCCATCCTCCCCCAGTGGAATAACACAGACAGTGCTGCATGTTCCTGGCCACCATGTGAACCAGCTTGCAGGTGTGCTGCCTACCAGGTATCTTGAACCTTCGTATCCTAGGTGATTACCAGGGATCAGTTATAAAACCAGGGACGATCCCTTGGCTGGCCTCCAGACCTCAGATGTCAAGCAGAGCCTAGGCCAAGGCCACTACCCCAAGTAGCACTGTTAGCATAAATTATCTAGAATGGCCCAGGACTCCAGAAATGCAGTGAACGTCTGTCGGGCAGGATTTTCAGGGGATTATATCCATGAGCTGGTAGGGTAACTGCTGAGTTAACTCTTTATTATGCAAACCCAGTTAGACAGAACCTGGAGCCCAAATGCTTAGCTACCACAGATTCTGTACAGCAGACATCTAACCTCCTGCTGATGCCTTCTCCAGGGCAGCAGAGGAGCTACACACAGGTTTATGAGGTTGAAAAGAAAAAATAGCCCCTGGCGATAGCCGATGGATTGGCCCGCAGGTCTGTGTGCAGGTTGCATGTGAACTCGAGAAGAGACGCACGGAGGTAGGGACACCAAGAAGAGCACCCCACCGGCCACACTGAGGGTGGGAGGACAAGGCTTCCTAGTGAGGGCCGTAGTTAAGACGAGGATGAAGACGTGAATGAGAGGCAGATAGGAAAATCTCTCAGGAAGGATGACAGGAGGCAGAGGCATAATACGTCTTGGGACTGAGAAGTGGGTGGAAATGATTGGAAGTGTAGTTCGTGGTGCCTGGACAGAGTGAAAGGGAAAAGAGGCAAAGGATAATTCTGGGTGGACGAACAAGGGTAGATCATTAAGGGGCCTTTGTGTTTCAAATATATATGGAAGATTTTTAACTCCATGGGCAAGCTGATCATACTTTTGTTTTATTAAAGCATGTTTATCACCTGAGTGTGCTACAGACCTGCAGAGTCTTGTCTTGACAGGCGATAGACAGAGCAGGAATGCAGTAACAGAAAGACAGACAGACAGACAGACTAGGCTAAGAGTGTAGTGGTCATGGTAGGAAAGTGGGCATTAAGGAAAGAGATAGCAAGGATATTACAACACAGTGGACGAATACATATAGTGTTGACTCTTTGGCATTTGTCTCTGGGGCCAACTACATGTTGCTATTATTCAGATGGGTAGAAAATGCAGAAATGGAGTCATTCAGACACAGGGTAGTTGAGACTACCCTGTATTTTCACCGAACCCATTTATTTTTCCTCCCAGAAGAGTGAATAGCAGGTGTAGTTAATGAGATCTAACCAATGAAATGGGGACATTAACAGTTTTGATGGATTATGTTCAAATTGCTGAAATACCTCACATGTACCTCCTTCCTTTCTGCTCTCAGCTGCCAAGTGGGGTTGAATCCCGGGTAATGTTTGCAGCCACAAAATGGAAGCAGCCTGGGACCCTGAAAAGAATCTCCCAGCACACACAAGACCATAATGTGAGTAAGGACCAGTCCTCTGTAATATAGACCAGCAAGGGCCCCTATCTCTCACAGAAGTTGGTCCACCCTGACTTAACTGGAAATTGGTACCTTACAGTGGAAGATTAGTAAATAAAAACAACAGCACAGACTAAAGAAAACAAAATAAATTTAATTTACATGCCCATTACTTTGCAGTCAATTGGCAGGTGACAGAAAGCAGGTATGACTCACTGGACATCTGAGAACCTTGCAAGGATCTGCGCATCATTTGGGAAAGTTACCCTGATGATTAGGAGATTAGACTATGCTTCTCATGATTCAAAAAAGCAGAGGCTATAAAAAGATTCATTAGTGTGTGTTTGTCATTGGGTGTCTTTGGCAAGAAGTAACTAAAAGAAAAAATAACTCAGGAAAGCATTGGGTAGTTGGCAGAAAAGAAAAACAAAAGTGCCAAAGACAGACATTCAGAGTTGTACTGGGTTGGAAGAGCCAGTGATTCTTAGGCTTAGGAATGTAAAAGATGCAATTTTAAAATGCTTCCCATGAAAGGCCCAGAACAATTTCTGGACTGAACAAGGACTTAACCCTACAAAGAACAGCATAAGGATGTGCCTTCCCAAGGATAGTTTCAGAGTGCATCCAGGTACCAGCACCCCTCTGCTAGAGAAAGAGAGGTGACTCACAGCACAGAAGCAAGGGAAATAAATCAGAAGGCAGATGTTTGAATTTGGAATGAACTTTGGGTGGTACATGAGACAGGCTGAAAAAAAATAAATTAACAGTCAGCAAAGTTTGTAAGGAAGTTGTTTTGCCAAAGGAACCATGAAGCTAAGATAAATAATAAAAATAGGGAAAAAAGGAGCAAGTTTGTCCAAGACTTAAAATAACTCTGCAATCACCAGTCTTCCGCGGGCAAAATCAGAACAAAGGAGCTGTGAAGTTCTCCAGGAGGAACTCCTGTCCCCTTCCCATGTGGCCAAGGCGAGTTAGAGATAAAAAGTCTGGATGATACCAGTGCCGTGGAGGACAGAGAGCAAGAGAGCTCCCCTTTGAGAGTGGAATGTTGGGACCTCAGGGAGGAAATTCTCCTTTCTCTTAAGGTTTAAAAAAAAACTTGCAAAGTTTATATCCAGCAGAATTGGGCACAAATGGGACACGTGCCTTCTCCTCTTCTGCAAGATGGACTGCAATTCTCCTGCCCTGTTCTAGACTGGCTGCCAGTGGGGTTTGTAGGGAAATATAATTTGAATTTCTATCCAGAGCCCCGGAAGTGCAGGCAACAGCATCTGGCCTGACGGGGATGACAGCAAGAGACTCAGGCTTTGTGACCAGTGCAGTCTTTAGAGACTGGGGCTCAGAGTCATCACTCTTGCCATGCCCCTTGCTCTGGTTCCTGGGCACCATGAGCTGCACAGCTCTGTGCCTCCATGCCCTCTTCCATGAGGTTTCCGTCTTGGAGCCAGCTGACTATGGACTGCAAAACCTCTAAAATCATGAGCCAAATTAAGCCTTCCCACTTTTAAGTTGTAGGTGTCAGGTATTGTCCCTCAGTGATGGGAAAACTGATTAATACAACATGTAAAAAGGCCAGTGGCTGTTTTGTGGGTACAGTGTTTCCAGTGCTCCTTCAAAATGCCAGATTCAACCCTACCCCAACTCAAGTGGTCCAAAGACTCAAGGATGCAAGTTTCTGTGTCCTTCGTTATACTTCTTTGCTGAGGAAGCAGACATGGTGACATGCTCTGCTCCTGCCTTTGTAGGTGGGAAGAGAATTGGAGTGGGTTACAAAAAGAATTTTCCTATATGCTTTCTCATCTGGAGATTATTTGTAATAGACAGAACCATCGGAGAAAAGAATAGGCATAAAACTTGCTGCAGGCGTGAGGAGGAGGGTAGTGTCTCAGTAGGGAGAGGTTAGCTAACCCCCTTGTGAAAAGGACAGATAAGAAGCTTAGCTCTGAGTTTATAGGTTCCAGAAGTGATAACCAGTGAGAGCCTAGTGAGGGACTTCTGCAGAGTAAGAAAGCACCGAAGGACCAGTAAAGGCAGGAATGGAAGGAGTTTTCTCCAGAATCTGGCAAACAGATGAATCACAGAAGCTATGGCCTCCAAAAACAAGGGGGAACAAGGGCGCCAGGCTCTGCCTCCTTTCTAAAGACATTCTGCAGAAGTCCTAAAGGATTTTCAACAAGAATTTCTCTACACATTCCAGGAAAATTTTTCAGGGACACGTGGGGTGGATCTGGGTTTTCCTTTCCAGCTAAAGGGCTGCAAATGTGGGTACATGATTTCCAGGAGCCACCCCTATGATGATTCTGGGGCGGTTTTAGCCCCCTCCTTCTCTCTGCAGAGGAGCGGGACACCGCCCAGGTTGTGCTAATGTGGGCTGTGGAGCACGGACACTCAGAGCAGACCCCTGAGCTACCCAGGAGTGGACACGGAGTGCAGGCAAAGGCAAATAGTCACTGAGAATCGTCTTCACCACGTTGCCAGCCTGGCCTCTCCTGACCGATGGACGTCTCAAGGAAGACTTGAAGGATGAGCAGGAGACATGGGACTGAGGTCGCCAAGGTAAAACTGGAGAGTGGAGGAGCATCTTGACCGAGAGCAGTGTAAAAATATGGTTGATAAACAGGGCAAAGTAGCAATGGAACCAGCGTTGGAACTCTTGTCACTTCTTGACTGACCCCCGGCACCAGACGAAATATATTGTTTTCAATTGCATCATTTGTGAAGAGAGTTTTAGTGAAGTCAATAATCACATGTATCATCAAGGCCTCAACACCGGCCAAAGGCACCTAGAGTCACATCCTTGTTTTGACACTCAAATTTTAGTGATGCTTGGGTAGTCACCAAGCTTTTGCCTTCTCATCTGTAAGCCCAGTGAGCCAGATGAGTTTTTCAGAGGGTAAAATCAAATGGTTTCTGTGTATCCTTTAGCCCAAGGCTTTGCCTTGTGTGCTCAATAATTATTTCCTTCTATTATAATTTATTTCATCATCCTCACTAATGGCTCATAGCTGTGAAAATCTATTTCACTTGGAAATTATTATAATTATTTGGGCTTTTAAAAGTTTTACATTTTGATTCAAAACCCAAAATCAAAGAACATACAGGAACAGAAGAATGGCAAGACAAAATCTTACAGCTAGTATTTGATGCTTCTACCACCTTCTGTAAATGTAAGATTAAAGACAACCAAAGATGCCCTTGATTTATAAACCTTTGTCAGTAGCTTTCCACTTATGAGTGTTCAACTTTTTATTTTGTTTTGTTTTGAGACAGGGTCTCACTATGTAGTTGAGACTGACCTGGAACTCATTATGTAGCCCAGGCTGGTCTCGAATTCACAGCGATCCTCCTGCCTCAGTCTCCTGAGTGCTGGGTTTACAGGCGTGCACCACCATACCATTCATGAGTGTTCAAATTTTTAACATTTCTAGGTCTCACAGTTCACGGCAAACCTGAGGTTTGCCAGCAGCACAAAGCCAGCATTTGGCTTTATTCAGCTCTTGTAGAATGGTCATTTTTAAATTTATAGCCTAAGAGGTTTGTTTTTAAGACTTGAAATTTAAGGTTTGCACAACATAAGCTGTTGTAAAATAGAAGTAAGCCTGGAACTTTGTACACCTGAGCTTCACTTTTTCTCATCTGCCTAGTCAGTGATCATGGAATAGAAGATAAACACAGCCTAGCATATCGACACATGCTTGTATTTCCAACACTGTGAGAAGGGAGGTGAATCACAAGTGTGAGCCCAGCTTGGGCAGGTTAGTGACTTAGCAAGACCTTCTCTCAAAGTAAAAATAAATAAAAAATGTGCCAGGATGTAGTTGAGTGAGACCCAGGTTTCAATCTCCAATACTAAACCAAATAAAATCCAATGTTGCATAAGTAGGATCACGATTTCAATAAATCCCACAGCCATGCATTGGTTTGTGGGAATGAAAAGACAACTTGAGCCCACATTTAGCAGTGCCTCCTCTAAACTCCTGTTGCTTTATCTATTCCATGATAGTTCCTTTGATATGAGTTGCTGTTTCTACTAATTGCAACTAAAGGGCAAAGATGAGATATTATCCCTAAGGGCCTTGTAATATGACCTACAGTAACTGATTTAAGTGGCTATAAATGCATTAATTGATGTTATACCCTGAAACGCACAATCTGAACACTAACATGCTAGCCAGGAAACCTTGTAGACATTGAAGTTGGAGTCTTTCTCATTGATGTCTCTGCTTAGCCTTACTGCATACTATGGCACTGAGCTGAGTTATTAGGTGACAGAGGATTTGGATTTTTCCCTATACATTTTGGAAACTTGTAATCTGAGAAGTATGAGAATAAATACATCATTCTGCTCTTCCCTGTTGCTCCCATAACTCTGTGATTGTAGGTAACAATTCCAGAACTGTTACAAATGGTGGGCTGGGAGTCAGGCAGCACCAATAGAGAGACTCAGGGTTATGAAAACAGAAAAATCATGAGCTTTCTCTTGTGGCAGACTCTGGGGGAAGGCATGAGCAGGCTTACTTCTGCACAGGCAAACCACTGGGACAAATTCTCCAACTAGGGCTTGGCAGGTCCTCCTTAGGTGTCTCAAGATAAGTTTAAAGACTTATAATCCCTAATTTTTCCACCAAAATAATGCCTAACTCTGGTTGGATTTACCTGTACTGGCTCATTTTATCCTCTTACCAAACTCTGTGAGGGAGATACAATTAATCACATTATTTTGCAGGAAATAAAAATGAGGAACAGACAGGTGAAGACATTTGACCAGAGTGACACCGGCAACTGTGACAAGAAGTGGAATGGAACTGATATGCACTTTACTCCAAGTGCATGGTCTTCACCCTACGTTTTCTTGGAGCCCTTATTTATGGAGGAATTTGGGCAATGAAGGAGTACCTTTCAAAGCTATATAGACAGACAGACAGATGAGATAAATATTTCAAATATATTTATTTATGTGTTTGCCATATCTGACACTCAGGTTTACAAATGACTTTTTTTCTCAAGAACTACAATTTACGATCAGATATCATGAAGCACTTTCACAAACACATAGTTTTTTATTCACTTCCTTACACAAACACTTCGACAGTAGCAGTCATCTCTCCTGGGGAATGGCTTGCCCAACATGCCCACCTCAGATATCTGGCTTTGAACGTCTTGCAATTTCTTCATTCCCTCACTGACTTTTTTGAAACATTGCTAATTAACCCTTGTACCCCACGAGGTCCTTGGGAATCAACAGAAAGTATGGAAAGGCATTTTTGGACCCAAGTCCTAGCAGATCTGTTAATCTCTCTCTTGCCTTCATTGCCCTCTTCTTCCCAGGGCCATCTGCTAAGTCAGCAAGAGGGATTTCCATTGATCTTGCTGTTGGAACAGACTCGCTACTTTCAAGGATTACATTTTTGCTTGGTCATTTGCTTAACAAACATATATGTAGTGCTTGCTATAGAGTCAGAAGAATAGGAGAGACCAGCAAAGACAGAATTCCAATGTGGTATAAAAGACACCTCTGCAAAGACTCAAGGCTATCACAGGAGAAGCAGACTGCAACCAAACACTCGGGAGTGACCTTGGAACCCTTCCATGAGAAGTGCGCCCTTGTTGAATCACAGGACGTGAATTTCACTTGAAAGATGAAAGAAGAGAGCAAACAGGAGGACCAAGGAGGGAACTTCAAGGGAAGTGTGTGGGTCCTTTTATTTTAATCTTCATTCATCCAGTGAATACAGGTGAAACCTCTCCTCTATACCATATCATATCTGAGGTGTCTGAAATACAACCATGAATAAGAGAATCTAAATCTTTCCCACTCCTCAAAGATCTTACTGCCAAGGGTTAAATGCTGGAGATGAAACACACAAGTCATGCTCAAAACATGACAGGGCTTACATGGTCTTGGTCAGGATGCTCTTACAGGCAGGGTGCAAGCAACTTCCAGTGGGCTCCAAGGGATCCAGATACAAGACCAAGAGTGAAAAGAAACAAAGACAGAACAGCCTCCATATTAGCTCCCAGATCCCCTCTGTCAAGCCATGAAAATGGGGAAACCTGGAGATGAGAAGACCAACAACTTTCTTCTCACTTATCTGAACACATAAATAGCACCTGCTGTGGGCAGGAAGCTCAAAGGCAAAGACAAGAAAGCCACATCTTGCGACCTGCAGGAGCTTGTTTTTTAGCAAAGGAAAAATTTATGTATCAAGCTCAATTCTAGAAAGTTTTCATGGACACAGAAACAAAATAATGCCCTTGATCCTCCTTCCAGAGAAGTAACTGGGTCCCCCTAAGGTAGGTTGAGTGGGTAATAACCAGGACATAACTGGTATGTGCTACATCCCCAGGTCAGGGTGACCTTTCATCCCATGAAGAAAAGATACATCTTGCTCACTTTGGCAGCGCATATACTAAAATTACCAGAAAGTAGAAGGCAGGATTGCATATTGATCCAAATGCCTGTGAAAATGCCCTGACTCAAAACGAAGAACACGGAGTAGGATGGTGTCACCCACATGTCTGCCGTGAACCCTGCTCACTGGGCACAGATGGGCAAAGGTGGGTCACTGTGCATTTGACAACTGTGCCCTGAAATGGTGTCACGAGGTTTATCTGATGGTGCGGTGGCATTCCAGGATCCACCTCCTGGAGAAAGTAGACTGCTGTTTTCCCCCACAGCAAAATTGTATTTTTGGAGAGGAGGCAGATAACTAAGGGGCTAATTATAAAGAGTTATGGAGCACAGGCAGGAATCCAAGAGCTGAGTAGTCAGGATCTATAAAGATGCTTTGCCCTGACAGTGTCGTCATCAACCGAAAGAGGCACAGTGCCTCTCAGAAGGCTGAGCAATCAGGCTTTCTAAGGAAAAACCATCACAGGCCCACAGAATGTTTGTTTTCCACACAAAAGGACACTCGACTACATTTAAATGTGAATAATGTTTCTGAAACCCAACTAATTCCTTCAAGAAAATCACCTTGTTTTCAATTACATCCGAAGCAAGGATAATGTCGCAAGTGCAATCGATCTTAAATATTTTCTTTCAGTAAATATTTCTGTGGGAAATACACGAAGAATTTGAGTTCTTGTTCCACTGCGGTTTTTCATTAGAGAGACGTTTGTGTGTGTGTTTATACCTTGAACCTGTTTCTGGGTGAAGTTTGCTAGAAATGAGTAACCCACGGGTCCTTCCTGCGCAGCACAGGGCCCTCTGACGAGCAGCAAGTGGCTCCGGTGTGAAGTGGTTAAGTCTGTACCGGAAACGGAAACGTGCACATGGTTTCCAGGGCGGAGCAAGCAGCCCACGTGGGATGGGCCAGGAGCTTCCGGGACCGCACCTTAAAGGAGGGGAGAACACGTATGTGTTATAGAGGAAGGAAGAAGAGAACAAAGAGGGAGAGGCACAGCAAGAAGGGTCCCAATTTAGGAAGCAGAGTTTGCAGAACTAAGAAGTCAGAAATTGGCCGGAGGGTCTGCTCGCTGGCCCCAAGTCAGAGCCCCCTGAGGGCACAGAGCAGGGCCTGAGTGGGGGGTCACACTAATGTCTGATGCACTGTTCAACAGAGATAAACTTTGACCTGTGCGTAGTAGTCATCATTGACACTAGGAATCAAGGGATTCTGGTAACCAGGAGAGAAGGAAACAGGACTAATAGCAGAGCCCTGTCTGACAGGGTCTGTCATGCACAGATGATGTATTTTAATCCTGCCCCTTCATAGCAGTTGGGCTCATTACTTAACTTCTTGAACCTCAAGGCCCCTTTTTTGTAAAAACAGTCAAGCAGACTACAAAAGTTTTTGTAATGGCTTGGTTCGAGGAACCGTAGAACGCCCCATTGGATCAGGTAGTGGAGGCCCCTATTAGGGACAGCACTGGGTCAGGAAGGACCCTGGCTGTGTTCAGAGGACATGTTATCCCATCCCTGGGACAGGCCAGATGATGAGGTCTTCGCTAGCATTTAAATTATGATTCTTAAAATTAACAACTCTGTATTGCATCGTGTAGGAGTTTACCATCTGTGAAACCAGTGTTTTCCTTTATATTGATCCCAACCAAAGTTGCAGCTCGGTTTGAAGATTCTACTTTTTTTTTTTTCTTCAGTCACAAGCACAACAGTGGAGTTGCTACGGAGACGTGATGAGCACAGCAGAAGGAATTCTGGGACTGCTTCACAGGAACGTGAAGTGTGTGAAGCCAGCCCTCACAGCGGCTTTAAATAAAGGCTGCTGGAAGTGACGCTGACAGGAGGAGGCGGAGGTTTGAAACGGGTCCATAATTAAGTGAAGGAGAGAGACACGTGAAGGATTTGGCAAGCGTCAGCAGGAATGAGTGCCTGTTTGTACGGAGAATAAAAGGAAAACAGTCTCCACATGGTGATAAAGCCAGGCTGGTGACATCCATAGGGACAGAGAGGGCCCGGCTCCCCTTAACCGCTTAGAAAATTCAGAGGGCTAGCGTCTTCCACAGCAGAGTTTCTGCTTGTGTCTGCCGTCCGTCAGGCAAAACACAGTGAGTCAGATACTCGGGTTTAGAGTGGCGAGGTGACACGGCTTAAGCCAAAGATGAGTACCTGGGAGTGTGTATTCCTGCTGCTCCTGACAAACGTTTAAGCACCTTCTGCGTGCAGTTGTGATGACATGCCGTGACTCTGCTGCCTTATGATGCCCTCTGTCTTAAGAATTTGGAAGAAGAGCAAAACTCTAAGTAAATAGTCACATGCAATTACATATTTACCACCCTAAATAGTGTTGGGAAGGAAAATGGTAAGAGCATATAAGACTGAGGCCCGAGGAGGTTCTAGATGGTCTCTGGTGGAGAAAATGGTACAGCAAGCTCAGTGCTGAGAGCGGAGAGCTAAGCACACAGGACTCGGCTGTCGATTCAGGTCGGAACTAATAAGAGCTGTGAGGACCTGGGATTTAGTGGGTAAAACCAGAATAGCTGTAATAGATTACCGGTGGATCCTGGATGTAGAGACCTACAAGGCACGTACCTTCCCGGCAGCCAAGGGCGCGCAACAAGGGAGGCACAAGAAGTAGTCAGAGAGCAGGCTCCTAGAAGCCAGGGTAGCTGGGAACTTCACGGAGAAGGGGGGCGCCGTACAGTCAGGTGTCTCCTGGAAATAAGACCACCTGTGACTTGGAAGGGCTGAGCCCAAGAGCCTTGATTCAGCGGAGAATGTGTTTTGCTGTCTACGTCTCCCAGGCCCCACCCACCCCCCAGTACCTGACCTGAAAGAGTCAGGAGAGGAAGCAGGGCCTCGCTTGGAGGCCTTGTTTTCCCTGAGACCTTGGAAACCTCTGCCTGCCTCTCTGATTCTCAACTTCTTTACCTAGAAAACAGACATAAAATAGTGTCTTCTTATTAGCAAGCAAATGGTCAGTGCTGTATCAAGAAAAGAGGGAAACATGAATGGACAGACGAGGAACATTCGCCTCCATATCTTCGCTGCTCAGCACGTAGGAACTGGAAACCATAAACAAACAAACAGCAACAACAAAAAAAATCCAAAACGATATTCATTCCCTCTCGTCTCATCTCATTTATGTAACGCCAGCAAAATTTTCCCTTGAGAGAAAATTGAAGACGAAGCATACAAAATCCAGCAAAGTTCCCTCTGAAATCCAAAGGCAAAACTCGCAGTCTTCTCTCCTGAGCTGCCACACTGTAATGTTAATCTTGCTGGATAGTGATTTTCTTTAGTGCACCTCAAGAAGAGAAAAATGTATTCTTGTTTGTATCTTCGTGTCTAAGGTCTAGGGATGTGTCCTTTTCTTTCTTTCTTTTTTTTCTCATTGAGTTTATGGGTACATTTTAGGTATACAGTACGGTTACATTCATCATTGGGATCTTGTACCTTTACAGGACAGGTCTTGGTTCTCATTTTTCCCCTTGTCCCTGCCCTCCCTTCACCCCCTCTTCCCCTCCCCATTTACAAATACTTTATTTCCATTTTTTCACTTTCTCATATTTTTTTTTTCTTTTCCCTTATTTCCTTTCCCCTACCTTTCCCACTTTCCCTACACCTTTAGACCTTTTCTTCCTATTTCACATTGTCCATTATACCATTAGGGTCTTCTATACTATTATAGTTTCTTCACACCAGAGAAACTATTCGGTATTTACACATGTGTGACTTACTTATTTCACAATGTGTCATTTTCGATTGCAGCGGAAGTCTATGCCATGCAACTGATGGCCCCGACGGAAATGCAGTTATTTCTGACACTTCGTGTCGATAACCTGCTGGAGCCCAGAGGGAGGATGTGGTCCTCTAACTCTGGTGCCAGAGCTGGAACTCGGCACCCGAGCACTGTAAGTTTTTGTTGCCTGCTCTTTTCTGTGCCTGCGTCCTGGGAAAATAAGAGCATGGAAGGGAGACAGGGCGAGCCAAGCAAGGCACGGTGTCTGGCTGAAGAGAGCGGAGGACAAATGAGAAGCATGTGGTTCTCCTTTTAGCTGTCGCACACTCTACACTTCCAGAGCAGGGTAAGTCCGGGCACAGTTCAGAATTATCTTCATAACAATGATATAATTTCCCAATTTTACCAGTACATATTTGTGATAAATGAAGCATATATTCATGCTGGGTAATCGACACACATGCGTATCACATCTTGATCCTTTTTAGTTCCCTTTCCTCTCCCCTTCCTCCTTTTCTCTTCCTCAGATCCCCTCCCCATCTCCACGTGGTCTCTCTTTTATTTATATAAATAAGTATTCAGAGAATCAGTACATGGAATGTCAGGTGACGGTTATCTCTGCGAAGGAGAGGGGCAGACAAGGTGGTGATGAGGACTGGCTGTTGGTAATGCTTCCAAAAAGCTAAAGCGATCTGATGAAACGATAGCATTTGCCCAGTGTGGGTGTGAGGTTGTACTCCAAGGGTTTAAATGTTTTGTGTGTTTTAAAAGAAGGGAAGCCTCCCGCTCCATCCTCCCAAGCTCATGCAAACAAGCAGTAGGGAGTAAGGACTGTCGCCTGTCACCATCGCAAGTCACCATCGCTAGATCCCAGCAGGAGGGGGCGAAGGTGCCGAGGAGATCAGAGACCAGAAGGAGTCTTGCAGGAAGACGGCAGGCTTTAGGGAAGAACGCGTCGGAGGGACAAAGGGCAGGTTGCCGCTTGAGAAGCCCCGCACGTGGGAGATGAAGGATGGCCGGGCCCTGGAAGCTGTGTCCCCGCTCCTCTGAGATTCCTCGTGTTCCGGAGGCAGAGGGTCAGCAACTCTTCCTGACACTCAGGACTTGGCCTTCGTGGGTAGCTCCTTTCTTGTGCTTTGATAAAATTCAAATGCCTTCCAGCAAAATAATTTAAAACAAAAGCGTCTCCTATTTCATTGTATAATAATAATAATATTAATAATAAAGAATGTGTCGATACACTACAAAGAGTTGAGATCATAATACTCAGATCTTATAGACTCCAGTAAGATCATAACACTCCGATCTTATAGACTGTTTTGTGATCACACTGGACACACCTACGTACTTCAATAATTGACACTTTTCCCTCCCGTAGGCCAGGAAGAATGAACGCTATTGACTCAATGCTGCCACCTCGTGGTCATATGTCATAATTCATCTGAACTGCTGAATTGAAGGTAGGTTTTTAATTTCTATCCCCTCCCCTCCCCTCCCCTCCCCTCTGCCCTCCTCTTCCTTCTTTTCTTTTTATTTCTTTGGTGAGTAAAAACGGTAAGTGATCTTGAGAAAATCCTTTGTCTTATAAGATACAGTTTTTCAGTACTTTCACCCATTAACTTTTCAGTCCAATGAAATATATCCTTCTATAAAAAATTGGCTGAAAAAGAATAGAAATATTGCAGAACGTCTCGAGGCAGGTATTCGATCGGAACTTTTGCGTTATAGCCTCTTCTTTTCCCACTGCACACCACTGCCTCCGCGAAACAGGACTTCGCCTTACAGGGAAAGGAGTGACATTGCTGCAAGTCAGGCTGGTGTTCAGAACGCATGTGCTCTTTCATTCATCCTTACACTGAGTCAGGAAGCACACGCTAGGCTTCAACTCTCTGTTCCCAGAGCACATTCTCAGGTCATGATAGGGGTAGAAAATAAGCACCTTACTCGGGATTCAAGTCTAGTAAATGTGACTTCACTGAGATCTAAATCATCCTAAGATTTGGCAAAGAGGTAATTACAGCCACTGTGGAAAAGTCATGCCACGAAAACGATCTTCTGGAAATTAATTGAGCAGTGAGTTTAAATGATTTGCAGAAGCCTCTCGTCTCTGACATGATGCTTGAGCTGCTGCTGAGATACACAGATGTATTCCCTGCCCAAACCTTGTGGGCACTAAACCTGCTTCCCTGCGGAGAGCTATTACTCAGTTTAATTAACGCTCAGACAAGGGAAAAGAGCTCGTCTCAGGGCTGAATATCATACGAATGTAGCTTTCGTTTGTATCGTAATTTGATGTGGATTTGACAGCTGAGTTTTATCTTTCACTGCCTTCCATCTTGATTTCCATCTGGCTTACCTGACCCCCGGGTTGCTGCAACAGGGAAAAAGGAGGGCAGAGGTGCGCGGTTTGACAATCATTTTCATTCTCAGTCCATTGATAGAATAGGCCATGTGTGGCCCAATGAACCACTAAGGAGGCTGAGAAAGGAGAGGTGCAGAGGGAGGCACAGGCGCCTAACTCTGCACCAGGGCCGTGAGCTGGGCTCTATAAATTTGTCCACATCCTGACTTTAAAAGAAACTCGATGTATTGAGAGTCCTTTATGAGGTAAATGTTGTCTGTGAACTTTGGCAGAGTAATTTGGAAAGTCAGCAGATGGAAAGCAATGGGAAACTATGGCACTGGTTCAACGCCATTAGAGTGCAGCAGAGCTCCATCTTTGTAGAACCAGTTATTCTTCCTTTGGGAAGGAGCAGGGTGGGGTCAAGGGAGGAAGCTCAGGAAGAGGAGACGTGAGAGTTGAGGGGGACTCTAGCTAAAGCAGCCTAGCAGGATTCTTGCTGAAGACGGTCACAGTAAGCAGATCCCATGGAAAGCGGGGCGGAAGACGATGAGCCCAATCAGATGCTAAGGATGGAGGCCTTTGCTAAGTTGACTTTGTGGGAACTTCTGAGTCAGGCTTCAGGAGGAAGTGTTCAGGGGGAAGCAGAAGGCTCAGAAGCCTGACTACAGTCTGGTCTAACCTCGATTCTTTGTCAGTCCATTAGCAAAAGAAAGATGTGGGAGGGCGTTTTTCTAGAGCTGTGCTTGAATTTATCCTAAGGTGTTGTTAGGTAGGAATTACCCTGCTGTTTCTTTGGAGGTGAGGTCATACTGTATAGCTCCTTCCTTAGTGGCTTCCTATTCAGCTTTTATTGCTTTACTGTTCTGGTTATCACAGTCCTCACTGGTTGGCCACACTTAGTTACATAAGTTACTGCTTTGTGGTACAGGAGGCTGGCAAAATGGTAAGTGGTTTTCTTTTACTACCCTCTTATACTTGCAGAGAGGTGGGGGGAGAGGGGGAGGGAGGGAGAGAGATTGAGATTTGATAACAACATTCCAGAATTTATCAGCAGTGCAAACATTCCGATTATGTGACTGGTTGCTGCCTCTAAGGCCAGGAGGCTCAGTCGGCCTCCACTTTCTCACAGTGCATGTAAATCTGAAGCCTTCTTTTGCTCAAACTAAAAGGAAATGAGGCAGAATTCAATGAGTAGTCTAGGATGAAAATAAGCGGAATCCCAGATATTAGAAGCTCAGGGGATCTAAGAGATAGTGTGAGAAGTTAGGAAAGATGGCTCCCAAAGCAATGTGTCTGATTTTTGTAGACACTGAAGATAAACTTTAAGCAAAGTGTTGCAAGTAGAATGACTGCTTACTAGGAACCAAGTCAACGAATACCTTCTTAGGCATTGGGTGGCTTTACTGTGCCTTTTAAAACATATAATGAACACTGGCTTTTAAGTCTTACAATGGGATTCTAGCATTATTTTCCATGGCATTTTAAATTCTACCTTCAAAAGTGTAAATAAGGATCAAAATGTATAATTGCTATTGTGTAAGAGGAAGGAAAGGTCTAAAAGAGTAGAGGAAGTAAGAGGAGTAGCGGGGAGGTAAAAAGTAAAAAGAAAAAATACAAGAAAAGTAAAAACGTGGAATCAATGTCTTTGTAAACAGGAAAGGTAAATGGGGAAAAAATGAGAACCAAGACCTGTCATGTAAAGGTACAAGATCCCAATGATGACTGTAACTGTACTGTATACCTAGAATGTACCAGTAAACTCAATGAGAAAAAAATATTACCAGGAAGCATTGCAGTGGATTGCTAGTAAAGTACCTGCATTCACTGGTGATACATTACAAAGCTGTAAATATAATCAGTACGTTTTCTCATATTTTTTCCCTTATTAATTTTCCCCTACCCTTTCCACTTTCCCTACACCTTTTCTTCCCATTTCACACTGTCAATTATATCATTAGGATCTTATGTACTATTATAGTTTATTCACATCAGAGAAACTATTTGGTATTTATACATTTGTGACATTTGTTTCACTTAGGACTATATCCTCAATATGTATCCTATAAATGACTCTAATTTCTCATTCTTTATTCCATTTTATAGAAAAACCCACATCTCCTTTATCCAATCTCCAACTGATGGGCAAATGGGCTGTTTCCAAGTTTTAGCTATTACAAACTGTGCCGCTATAAACATAGGTGCACATATATCACTGTGATATGATTCTTTTAGTTCTTTTGGAAAGATACCAGCAGAGGGATGGCTGGGTCATATGGAACCTCCAGTCCAAGCTCTTTGAGGTATCTCCATATTGATTTGCATAGTGGTTGCACCAGTCTGCACTCCACCAACAATGGAGATGGGTTCCTTTCTCCCCACAACCCTGCCAACATTTGTTATTGTTTGATTTCTTGATAGCAGCCATTCTTTGTGGGATGAGATTTTTTTTTTCAGCTTTGAGTTTATTGGTACAGTTTAGGGATACAGTACAGTTACATTCATTGTTGAGATCTTGTACCTCTACATGACAAGTCTTGATTCTCATTTTTTCCCCTTACCCCTGCCCTCCCCATCTACAAACACTTTATTTTCATCTTTTCATTATCTCACATTTTTTTTCTTTTCCCTTATTACCCTTCCCCTACCCTTCCCACCTTCCTTACACCTTTAGCTCCTTGCTTCCCATTTCTAAATGTCAGTCATCTTATTAGGATCTTACGTATTATTGCAGATTATTCACACCAGGGAAACTATTCGGTATTTACACATGCGTGACTTATTTATTTCACTTAGGAGTATATCTTCAATATGTATCCATTTTCCTATGAATGAATCTATGCTTTTTCATCTGCATCTCTCGAATGACCAGTGTTGTGGAACATTTTTTGTAAATAGGGAGGGGAGGAGGGGGTGAAGGGAGGGCAGGGACAAGGGGAAAAAATGAGAACCAAGACCACCTGTCACGTAAAGGTACAAGATTCCAACAATGAATGTAACTGTACCGTATACCTAAAATGTACCCATAAACTCAATAAAAGAAAAAAATTTTAAATATAAAATCAGTATTAATACTGAATGCTGTTATGTGAAAATGTTGACCATGTAATAACCTGTAAAAAGTGTAAATTAAAAGTAACAGTGTACAAGATTACTAAGTATATATAGACCTATAAAATAGGAAATATTAATAAAAAACTAGAAAAGACTGTCAAGCGCTCGCTGTGTTAAAATAACCCAGACTGAGACTGCTACTTACTTCCCTTCTCTGCAGTTCTCTCATGCTAGGTGCGGCTTTAAAGCTTTTAGAATAACGACGGCTGTGGTCACCGTAACTGACCAGCGGATATTCTATCAAACTCTGCAAAACGTCACGTGAATATGTTTTAATAAATGACGACGATGATGGAGGAGGAGGAGGAAAACACCCAGGACCCCTTTGCCGTGGCTGAGTGGAGAGTTCAGTCGAGCTGAGCTGACCCGGCGGTGGGCTGGGGTGGGACTGGGCTGCCGGCTCCTTGTCAACTGTGGCTCAAGGCCGCGTCCCAGCTGGGGTTTATTGAAGTCATTATTAAAAATATTCTTACAGGTGTGTTCCCAGGGTGTTCCTGGAAATGGCAGAAATGCTCTTTCACGCACATACATTGTACGTAATGCCTGCAGCCTGTTAGGGCCTGAATTTAGGACCAAACTCCTTTCCCATGCCCTTGAGATATTGTTGCAGTTTAAACCTTGGCCACCTTCTACTCGGAATCAAAAAGTAACAAAACAGTTCTGAAAACTGAGCTACACAGATGCAGTCGCTCCCGACAGTGGCCTTCCCCACTGGGTCCCCCAGCGCTTCCTGCTTCTCCAGAGAGGGCCCAGGCAGCAGAGCCTCTGCTAATGTGCAGCCCAGGGCTGGGTGAGCTCTTTAGTTTCCAGCCTGTTCAGCAAAGTGAGAGGCACCAGGCTGGGGAACGCTGACTGGAGGGTAATGGAAGACTCATTAAGGCAGCTTGCCCACGGGTGGCTTCCTGCTTCTGCTGATCCGATGAATGAATTCGCATCCCAGTCCTGAAACTGCAGGTTAGTTGATGACAGCAGTGGGGAATTTGCCAGAATTGCTCCCTAATTGCTTCCTTCTACCTTTGGGGTTGGGTGGGATGAGCTAGAAGAAAGATCTTGCCATTTCTCACACTAACCTGCACCCACAGGGGAGAGAGAGAGAGAGAGAGAGAGAGAATCATGTGTTCAAGCATTTCACTAACAGAGACAGAAAACAACAAAGTCACCAAATCCCACAGGCTCCGTATTTAATTTTGCTTAAAAACAAAAGGAGTTGAAGAGGAGGGAGGAGAGAGAAAGCAAAGAAGTGAGGAAATCCCTAAAGCTCGATGTCAGAATTTTTTTAGCAATAGTTCAAAAACCTTATTATTAAAAAGCCAATTCTCTAAAATATACCGGCCTGGCAAGTCAATGTTCGCTGTCACGATGCTGATTATTTTTATTAATAAGAAAGCATCATAAGATGATAAGTGAGCACACTGTGGCCATGTAAAGAGAGAGATACAGAAAAAGCAATCATTTGTTGACTGAATTGAATTTACCAGGACAGTGCACATTTTCCGGTCATGGTTCTGTTAGACTCACAGAAGCATCGCATTGGTGACTGACAGATGGATTCATTCTCTCAAACCGCACCACTCACCATCTCTCTGTCAGATGTTCACCTCTTGCACAGAGGCTATTAGGTACAGGGCGCTGCCCACAAAGAGGGAGAAATAAATAAGTATGTGATAGCAAAGCAGAATTTCCGGCCCAACCCCACAACTGTGTGATCCAAGACTGTGTTTTCTCAAAATGCACAGGTTTCCATACGCACATAAAACTGTAAGACACTCTGAGTCACACCAAGTCCTAGAATCCAAAAAGCGCGACGTGCTTTACTTGCCTTTTCCGTATGCTGTCGAAAGCCGGTGACGCAGAGCACCGTCCAGCAGTGTCTCAAACCTGAAAGAGCAGCGGGGTGGAGATGGGGCAGAGAGACAGGAAGGACGCCAAGACAAGTGTCGCGGGCCGCGACGTCAGGATCCTGCCAGCAGGTCCTAAACCTGAAAGGAGGAGGACAGAGAGACCAGAAGTACCTTTCTTCTCAAGTTTCTAGCTTGCTTTATTACAGAACCTCTTCCTTTTATACTCTCCAGCTGCATGGGAGCAACAGTACCGCCCACACATTCCAGAGGGAAACAATAACAACCATTATGGGTTACATCTGCTAGGCAATAGATCAGACCACCCGCTGAACTAGCCCATTGCTATAGCGACGGCAGGTCCACACTGCTCGGGTGAATCACAGGTCAGTATGGCTGCGCTCATGTCGTGTTCCTTTACAGTGCTCTCCATAGACAAGAGTCTGATCAAGGCGACATTTATTGCAGGCAGGCATCAGCCTTTTAAAGGAAAAGATCGAACTATTATGGGCTAGGATTACCATAGTAACCTCAACACCCGCTCCACGGGAACGAGGGTTCACACGGGAAAGAGAAAGCAGGCTCAAGAAAAACAAATTAACAACACTTGCAACTAATAATCATGATTCCCAAATAGGTGGAGGAACTTAACAAAATGGAGTTACAACACCTGACTCCTACAGAGAACGTCAGATCTTTAACAGGAAGCACCTGACTCCTACAGATCTTTGGCTGTCCGAGTTTCTCCCGTGCAGGGGCAAAAACAAGTTTAACACGTGCAGTCCTTAAAAATGAACAAATGTTATCTTTCAAAAAGCCAGTGGGCCATGGCTGGCTTCCCACAATATTCTTCCGTTTGCAGGCTCCTGGCAGCACACAGGAGCTGACCTCTTCCCAGTTCTGGGGAGAAAGGTGATCATCAAAGCCTCAATCTACATGCCCTGAAAAGGTTTCATCATCTGAAAATGTTGGGGAAAACTCTGCCTCTTAGAGTTTCCCCAAGGCATCCGTGAAGCACTGTTTATAAACCATGTATCAGAGTGACAGCCTCGTAATAAACTTGGTTTTAATGAACTTTCAAAGAGCAGCATGGATTAGAAAGCAGATTCCCAATGCAGCAGTGCTGACAGGTGGGAACTTCAGCAGATTATCAGGGCCCGAGGGCTCGGCCTCGTGAAGATAGGGACATGATCCTCACAGCAGCAGGCTGGTTATCCTGGGAACAGACTGCTGATTAAAGCTCACTTCAGCCACATACGCTCTTGGCTTTCCGACTTAGACCGCACGATGATGCATCTCATTGCTCTCTAAGTGCTTGGCTTCCATCCTGAAATTCCCAGCTTCCCAAACTGCAAGAAATAAATATCTGCTCTGTTGCGACTGCTAATCCCAGGTACAATGGGCCTTCGAATTACAACTGGCCCGACATGCGTGCAACGTGGGTTAATTAGATGAATGGGAGATTCATCTGCCCCTCATTGTCTATAGTGTGTAACTGGGTAAACATCCAGGTCTCAGCTGTACTGACTTACAAACAGCCCTCAGGAAACAAGTGATTGAGTTCATAAGTCAAGGGTCCACTGTATTCTCCACCCCAACACCTGATAGACTAAGACCAAGCTCTTCAGAGCGATGATGACCCTCCACAGCTGTTTTATCTGCACCTCCACATGTATTCCTGAGAAAACTCAAAGTCCCACTCCTTCTTAAACCGTTTGGAGTGACTACAGCCCCTTCTACTGCCTGCAGATATGTGTGCCAGGTGTTCATCAGCCTAGGAAAACCTGTGTTGATTTGCTTTGGAAACTTCAGAAATAATGGTGGCTTCAAAGACAAGATTGCATAAGGCTCAGGGGGAGATTGGAACCTGCCTGAGCTGAAGGACATCCTAGCCACATGGTGAAGCTGTTGTGTCTCTCTGAGCCTCTGCTCCTGTAACAACAGCACAATGGCAATAATAGCAGTGAGCTTTCACTGCTCTGCATAACTACTGAGAAGAGCTGTGCCATTCTCTTTTCTATCACCTGAATTCTATATTCAAGGCATGCTTTGATTTTTTTTTTAAATCTCCCTGTGTGTGTTTCTGGTCACTCATCCATGCAGTATTTATTCACTGCCTACTGTGTGTCAGTGTGGAAGTGTGTTAGGCTTTGTAGCTTTGCACATGAGTTTATACACATACACACCACATGTGTGTATACATAAGCATACACATACATACACACAGATAACTGTGCAAAGAGTCACGTGTTTATAAATAAACTGTACATGTTATAAGGTACGATTTCTTGAAAAAATTCACTTAACATCAAGGAGACCAGGGCTGGGGATTTAGCTCAGTGGTTCTGAAGCCTGCCTCGCAAGCACAAGAACCCGAGTTCCATCCCTGGTACAAAAAAGAAAAAAATAGAGGCAAAGGGGACCAAATAAATCCGTGCATCCCTAGCTTTTTAAAGGATCCAAGCATGCAAAACAAAAACCAAACCAAAACAAAGCAGACGTTAAAAGTGACCAGCAGAGGGCAGAACACCCTAACAAAACGTAATAGGATCTTTACATGGTGACCCTCCCTCCCTCCTTTCACTGAACTGTCAGCTTTTGGAAGTTTGGGGTCATGACACATGGCTAGGACTGTAGCACTTGTTACATACGTGTCTCCTGAGTGAAGCAGTGACACAACCTTTTATACAAGCAAGTTTTTCGGCACCCATGCCCTGTACACGCATCTCCCCTACTCCCCTTCAAGCCACACCTGCAGGCCACTTTACAAAGGCATGCCAAAGGAAACTGTGTTCCCCTCTCACCTTCACAGTGCCACGACGGAGTTGGGCACTAACCACCCACTGCTCTGCTCTTCCCAGTGCGTGGGCCAAAGCTAGCATCCGCTTCTAAGGGCGAGAGCCAGGCTGCAAGCTCCCGCGGCGTGTGGAGGAATGGGTGGCCGTGCACTGCCGAGGGTGCTCGAAGAGGCAGTGTGAGCAGCTTTCACCTGACGAGAACGGGACCAGGAGAAGACTAGAGCTGGGTGTGGCGAGGCCTGGCATGGCCAGATCAGAGTGGCCAACCAATTCTCTCAGTTCCAAATCTGAGACAGGAAAGAGGGAGAAGGAGGGAGTTGGCAGCTGGTACCAAAATATGAAATGGCGAGAGTAAGTCATGGGCCACAGGAGTGCTGGAGTCATGAGAAAGCTGCCTTTATGAGCAAGAAGCCACGGGGAAACAAAAACCTGTTTCATCAGAAATGTTAAGATGGTAAGTGGTTAATAATGTGGGTCCTGAAATCGAGTGCCCAGGTTTAAATTCCAGGCCTCCCTCTCATTAGTTGACCCTTGGCAAACTATAATCCTCTCTACTTCAATTTCTTCTTCTGGAAAAAAGAGTAGCTTTCCCTCAATGGTCTCTGATTGGTCTACTCCAGTCCACAAGTCTCTTGTCACTGCACATTGCACGGGAAAACTGGTGTCTCTGCCAGCCAGGAGAAGAATTCTGGGGAGAGGAATTGCCCTCCTGCCATCAGCCCTAAAGTCGAGCATGACATCAGCAAGAGCCAAACAGCACGCGGGACCTCATACCAGGAGGAATCCAGGAAAGCAAAGAGAACAAAGTCCAGTTAGAAGGCAGGAGCAGGTCCCGTGTGACGCCATATCTGAAGTCAGCTCCACATCCAAGCTTTTCCATTATGCGAGTGAATACATTTTATTTAAATGAACCAATATCAATATGGATTGTCTTTTCTGTCTCTTAAAAAGGGCAGAGTTATCATTAGTGTGTTCAATGTGCAGAGCTCCGTGGAC